CATGGACTGCTGGAAAACCCAGGCCCAATGACCGAGCTCAGAGGGGGCCCAGTCGGTACGAGCGGCCCGCAGAGAAAACGGATTCACAACCCTTAGTTGAAGGCCTTTTCCCAGGGTCCATAAAAAAAAAAAAAAAAAAACAGCATCACACCTCAGAATTACCAGGTTCGGTCTCAGCATCCCAAATGCATTAGTCAGGTCAGCAGCAGTTCCGAACCTGGAGCATGTGTCGCAGGCTGCGGTCGTCTGTACCGTCACCACATCGAAGTTAGACTGGTAGTTATATCCAAAATTAGTTATTTTTAAGGCTCTGCGGACCGGAGCCGCCTCAACCAATGTTAGGTTCCATGCCGAGCAGCAAGTATGGCCCACCAACATCGGTACAAGAGTACTGTAGCACAACCCCAATGTCACTCCAAGCACCACACGTGTCATTCCCATACCGGAACTGTTACCGACTGTGTGACGGCTCTGCAGCCACTAGCATCAGCCTAGTGTCATCCAACACTAGTGAATAAAAGTTGTCCCGTACCCAATGCCTTAGCAGCTCCCACCAACCAATGATCGTGTGTACGTTGATTCAACGCCAACCTGTGAAACAACTCCCTCGAACTGCTGTGGCCCGTGTCATATCGCTCTAATCCTTTTGAGTCGTAGCTTATATCGTCGTCGAACCGCATCTGATACCGAACCAAACCCGAATAAGAGACAACCGTACCGTGCCGATGCCGTGCCCATGCCGTACCTGAGGATGTCGGTGTCGAGCCTGAGTTAAATACCCGTGATAGCGTCGAACCTGGAATAACCTGTCGTCCAGGTTCCGAACTTGAAATACATCGTCATAGTGGCTCCAGACCTGAAAGTAAGCCACCGTGGTGGTTCCGACCCTGAAACAAATAGCCATGATGATGCTGATCCTGAAATAAATAGTCGTGAATAAATAATCGTGATGATGTCGACCCTGGAAATAAATCACCCTGGTGCCCGAACCTGAAGTATGCCGATACCGGCTCAGGCCGAACCTCAAACATGTCCGGTACCGAACCTGACATCATGCTGTCGGTCCAATGTAACACGATCCCACGCTGTCCATATCCATGTGGTCATCGTCCGTACCGCCGGGCTCAGTAAGGTTAGTAATGAGGTAAATAGGGGACGCGTCATAGAGAGTTTCGATCATCGGGGGAATAGCAAAAAAAAAGTTAGAGCTCAGGATATTTGATCAAATCTGGGTTCTGAGCTGACGATGGATATCCCAAGCAAAACCAGACCAGGCATCGAATAATCATTAACTCCTGTTTGTTCCATCATTTTTAATCGTTTTCCTTTTCCCTTAATTCTATTGTCTGAAATAGTGAATTAGGCATAGGTTCACCAAAAATGAATTCTGAGGGAGTTTAATCAGATGGTCGAAATTCTCTCTTTTCTTATCTCCCTTACCATTTTTAATCTTTTTCTCTGGTTTTCTATTTCATTGTCGGAAACATAAAATAACGAGATATTTTCCCCAAAATTTAAATGCCGCGAAAAATAAGGGAACTAAGGGATATTACGTTTTTCTCTTCCCTCCTACTGTTCCCAATCTTTTTTCCCATCTTTAGTTTAGGTACCAAAAATAGACAAAAATTTGAGGCCTCATTTCGGCCCCGGCCGTATGCCGCAAAAACGTTGTGGCGAAGTCAGTTCCCGCGATGCCTCTCCGCGGCAGGTCAATCCAAGTCTAGCTCTCTAAACGGTCGGGAATGACGGTCCCTAGATGCGCCGAGTGTGGGCACTTATCTCGCCATCTTTGAGGGTTACTCGTAAGGCTTAGTGCGCCCAGAATCAGGGGTGCCCAGAGTTCCCCTGATTTTTGCTGCTTGGTCTAACCAGAGTACCGTCAAAACTCAGACTCCTCTTCGCGCCTAAGTCCCAAAACCGTAGATTTCAGGCGGCGCACTGCTTGTGGCCGCCTGACAACGTGGCGGATGCTCTCATCCACGAGTACGGCCATCTCGTGCAGTTTCTCACAGGACCTCGTCTTCAAGATGCTCAAAACGCTTTCGAGGCGAAGGGGTTTCCAGGGTGTGTGGGGGCAAACGACTGCACGCACATCTACATCGACAAGCCGAAGGTCGTATGCGACCATGAGTGCAGGATAGTCAGTGTGTTTGTCGACTGTCCCGGTTCCGTGCATGACTCACGTGCTTTGCGGATGTCGCCCTTGTACCGCAACACCAAACTAATCCGCTCTGGACTACAAGCTTTTTTTCATATGCCACACGGAGAGATTGAAGAGGCGACCATAGGCGCCGCCAGGCGGCGGCCCTTCGGCCTTAGTCCCCTACTATCAAATATATACCTTAATGAACTCGACCACTTTATAGAAACAACTATCCGTGAATATAACAAGGCTCGAAGAGCAGACGCTTCGCGTCTGAATCCCACGCATTGGAACCGAAGGATGCATTACATCCGCTTCGCAGATGATTTTCTAGTAGCAATCTCTGGTCCACGATCAGAAGCAGTGAGACTGAGATCTGAATTGGAATCGTTCCTTAGAGACAAACTCCAATTAACACTGAGTATGGACAAAACCCATATTACCCATGTGTCGAAAGGAGTAGTTTCCCCAACCTGAAATCAACGGAACCAAAACACTGATGAGTCGGTGTACAGCGGAACCTTTGTGAGATTGTATTACAAAACGAGTTTGCGAAAGAAGTGTTTCCTGTGATTTCTTGGACGGAGCAACTCTGCTGACGAGCCCGTGGGATTCAGACGCGAAGCGTCTGCTCTTCGAGCCTTTGCCAAGGTGGAGAACGTCATGTGCTAAGAAATGGAATCCTTCTCCCGTAGTGACTATGCGAGTTTGATCAGGCACAAAGTGAGAGGTGTGCTCAGCGAGGGAGGGACTGTTCTCCATGACGGCACGCATGTGGGGCGGTATCTGTTGGGAGATGCAGGGTATCCCCTTCTCCCATGGCTCATGACACCAACGGGCAGATTTGCGAGAACGTCTGCGGACCGGACGTACGACGAGTGCCACACAACGGCCCGGTCTTGTATAGAGCGCACTTTCGGGCGTTTGAAGAGCGTGTGGAGGAATTTCGTCTGCACACACATCGCGAACTTGGAAACTCTGCGCAAGGAATTCATGGCCGTGTGCATTCTGCACAACCTCATGATCGAACACAGGGTGGAGATCGACCCTGCGCAAATCGGAGATGACAGCGACAACGATGGTGGGGGTGCACCTCCCAACGGCCGTCGCCGGCGGCCGGCGGAGGCTAGTGTAACGGAGGATACCCGACCTGAACGTCGAAGTTATGGATGGAGACGATCCCTCATATGGCTCATTCTAGGGAAGCGGGTCAGGGCTAGTTTGATAGCACATGTGGAGCACCACGTTGCTGTTCACGGTGCGCCGGCGGCATGTCCGTGGCGATAATGTGTGTGTGTGTGTGTGTGTGTGTGTGTGTGTGTGTGTGTGTGAGGTAGAATGTGTGTGTGTGTGTGAGGTAGAATGAGACTGCACTTCGCGAATAAAGACGCACAACTTTTTTTTGGCCGTCAAGTGCTCAGAATATGCTTCCCTTTGCTCTCTCTCTCTCTCTCTCTCTCTCTCTCTCTCTCTCTCTCTCTCCCGCGCGCGCGCGCGCGCGTGCGTAATTGGGGAAATAACATGTTGGGATGATCGTGCTGGATGCATCGATTCCATGAAACAAGTATCAGAACATACAAGCTGCATCAATTCCATAAAACAAGTATCAGAACATACAAGCGAAACAAAGGTTCTTTGCAATCCCCTCATCATCGGAATTTGATCGTTGTTTGAGTTTATTCGAGTCATGAAATGACATTGACAAACGTGTGCATGCAATTCATCGAATCGTACGAATTCTCACCGCATTGGAACTGAGAAACGTGTGCATGCAACGTTTGGACACAGATGATGATTTTTCGTGGACGGAAAAAAGGAAAAAAAACAAAAGAAAAAAAACATAAGAAGGAAAAGAGATCATGGTCATGGAAGAACAGAGATACACACACACACACACACACACACACACATATTATCGTCATGATGATGACGTTGATGATGATGATGATGATGATGATGATGATGATGATGATGATGATGATGATGACGATGATGATGACGACGACGATGATGACGATGAAGATTATGATGGTGCTAACCATAATCATCATCATCATCATCATCATCATCATCCTCATCATCGCCATCATCCTCATCATCATCATCATCATCATCATCATCATCATCAACGTCATCATCATCATCATCATCATCATCATCATCATAGTCCTTATAGATTTCACAGTGGAGAGAGAGAGAGAGAGAGAGAGAGAGAGAGAGAGAGAGAGAGAGAGGAAAAAAGGACAGTTGTGTTTGAAACTGTAAAGACGAATTACAATCCAACTGTGAGAGCCACGTCAAACCAAAGACAAGCAATTGACGACAACTGCCCCCGGACGAAAAATACTACGACATCCCCAGGGCGAAAACGAAATCCGGCGACCAACAATTCGCCATGTCGACAATTCCACCTAAACCGACACAAGGATTCAGATGGGTTCCCCAGCATGTATCCATGGGACAAAGGCAATTGACATGCGCTTAACGGATGTCACGTCACCTTCTCCCCCGCCCACTGCCTCCGTCCAAAAAAGAATACTCTCCTCATGTTGCATCGGCCGTCAACGATGCACCCCCGCCATAACTGCCCATTCTTGAAGAAAACACATTCATGAATGCCAGCGGAGAACATAAATTGTCTCCCTTCTTTTCATCACGTTTATGGTTGCATGCGTTCCTTCCACTGCTCTGCTCATGCTCATACGCTGCCACACTCCTCTACCACCTCCGCGTCACAGCCCGTATGTCGTCCTCCGGGGACCAAGTTCGGACCGCCCCGTGCAGGTAACTCTCTCGTGTAGGGGGGGCTCCATATGTGCCATGTACGGCGCGTTCCCGTGCATCGCACCCATGTGCTCTTCGGCCAGGGTGGGTACCAGGAACCTCATGACATCGCTAACGACATCACGTGTCGGCATCTGCCACGTGTCAGGGACGATGGCAGACAACTTCCGGACGAACAGGACAACCTCGATGAGGTTGTTCTCGCCATCATACCCCAGCCCTCCTACGATCTGCATGGAGATGAGACCATCCACAAGCGCGTAGTAAGTACGACTCTCCCGCAGTTCCACATTGGGGCCCCACTCCATATCTCGATGAAGCTCCTTGCCCCTCTCGTGCCTCGTCTCCTGGACGACAACCTCCTTGCCGCCCACCCATTCGCGGACCACCGGCACAACGTCCGACATTTTCTTTCTCTCTCTCTCTCTTTCTCTCTCTCTCTCTCTCTCTCTCTCTCTCTCTCTCTCTCTCTCTCTCTCTCTCTCTCTCTCTGTGTGTGTGTGTGTGT